TGATGCTTATGTTCGCCTCCTGCTTTTGACATTTGAGCATTCTGTGAGACTGTAGCATCTCTGGTTGTGGTAAACAGCCTGATTCTCTAAATAACAGCTGTGGATTTTGCTGAGGATCTCAGGCATTCCCCCACTTTGTCAACAATAAAAGACCTTTAAGCAAGTTAGTACTTACAAGGCCAAATTATTTTCTGCTTTGAATTGAGTATTTTAAAACTGTGATTTGAGTAAAAGTTTACAAAGCACATTGTTGGTTTTGGGTGGCAATCATTCATGTACATTCTGTTTCCCAACACCAGTTATAATAGTTGAAACTATTTGTCTTCAGCAATAGAAGTTCTTTGTAATTAAATGGAAAATGATTTTTTTTAAGTGTGCTTCCAACCTAGAGGTAGTCAGTTCAAACCCACTAGCTATTCTCAGAAAAAAAGACAATCTCCTCTATGTGATTGACTGTCTCTGAAAATGCACTTGGGGGTCAGCTATGAGTTGGTCCTGATTCAATGGCACCCTAACAACAGCATATCCTGAAGGTCTTTGGTGCTTAAGTTGATGGAAGAAAACCTGCTTCTTCAAATTCAAGCATTACACAGACCCTCTTCAGATAGCAACGTGCACTAAAAGTGGGAAAGAATTTCCCACTAAATCCCTGGGGAGAAAATGTAGGTGGGCGCTATATGTTCCAGGGCTCACAATAGGCTTAATTATATTTTCATATTTGACAGCCTTCATAGGAAAAGGGTGTGATCTCACTCTAAGTGTAGAAAGAGAAACAAACTGAAAGGAATAACCTTGAACAAATCATTGAACTGTTTACATCAGCAAAACCAAGCAACATGCAGTTGTAGTTTTCACACAGTGCTGTAACATGTTAAGTATGAGTTTAATAAACTTGACTTCTCATTTTTTACTAGAGCTGCTACTCTGGTAAAGTTATCTAAAAGATGAGGTGTTAGATGTTTGGAAAGAAGCATCATTTCAGCGACTGACATATTGGTATATTTTCTAGATAGACCTCTGGAAAAGACCTTCATCGAAAGCCTTTCTCCAAATCACCATTTGCACTACCATGAAGCCACTCAAACGCCATCTTGTCTATTGACCTTCCCAGAAACTTTTTACAAAATAGCACTATCTACGCCTTAACTGTCTATGCCCTCTAAGTTTGATTTTGTGTTACTCACTTAAATAGCATTTATCCTTCCAGAAGACACCACACACACACACTTTTTATCATCTTCTCTCATTGGCATATAAACTTTGTGAAGGTAGAGCCTCCATCTGATTGTTTTCACTCTTCTGTGTCATATACTATGACTAAATTAAGATGATTAATTAATTGGTTGCTTATTAACTAATATTATCCCTAGCAGAATATGCATTGAAGTTTTTCTGAATTTGTTGAGCCTTTGTTAGGATGGTGTTTGAACACTATTTTCATTTCGTATTTATCATTTGCTTTCATTTATAAGCATTTCAGGTGTTTTATTTAACCCATTTTCCCCCCAGGCCTTTTTATTTTTTCTGAAAAATACAAACTGAATTTTCAGAGCAGTTAGTTCTTTGTGGGTTTCCTGCCCTGCTCTAGTGAAAATGCTCTACTTTCTGCCTGGAAAGTTTGGGTTAAATCTTTGCATATTGCAAACTTGAGTTCATGCAAAACTTTAAAAGATACCTAATAAGACAAGCAGAAGTAATCCTATCACCTCATGAAACAATCACAAGATACTCTGGACTCATTTTTCTTTTGTGCTCGACATAAATCTTCAATGATGACTACCAAACTCTGCAGTGCAGGCATTTGTAAGCGATGGGGTCGGGGCTGGTCCAGCGTGCATCTGTGCTTCACAACAGACAACAGTTTGTGTCTTTTCACTACTCTAGGCAGCTCTGAGGGCATAGCTCTGGTGGGTAGTCATGCAGCTAACCCAAAGGCTGAGAGTGTCTCTGGTGGTTCAAATCCACCAACTGCTCTGCTGGAGAAAGATGGGCTGTCTCCTTCTGCTGATGATTTACAAACTTGGAAACCCACTGGAGGGTTAGCCATGCTCTTTTCCAGGTTTCCCTGAACAAAATGAATGAGAAAATATCTTTCTTTTAGGCAGCACCAGTAAGTTGAGTGCGTGTACATTTACCTATAAATAATACTAGTGGAAACCATTTAGAAATATAGTGTGCTGTTCTCCTTGAATACTTAACCATCCAAATGAAAATGTAGATCTAGTAGTAATATCGATGCATAACTACTGGGTGAAATTAATATACAAGAGAGAACAAGGAATATATCCCCCCCACACTAAAAATTTGCTATTAAATTGGAGTATCTTTGATATCTCAATTTTCACTGGTCCAATCTCTTTCCATCTATTTGCATTTAATCTGTTTCATGCCTTTGATTTTCAGGTTCTGGTAAGAACCTAGAATTTCAAAAGAAGGAAAATAATTAATGTCTCCCTATCAGTATTATTCTTCACAACCATAAATATAGCAAAGAAAGAGAAAGGGGATTAATTCTACCTAATTTGTTTTCATTTAATTTTGATCTTTTGTGGCAGACAAGACTTGATGATTTCTACTACCTACAAGGGAAATCTTCAGATTGGTTTGTAATTCTTCATGTGTTTGCTATGTTCATAATAGAAAACCAGCAGTAAAATAAGTCTCTACCTGTCAAACAGAACAATCATGTAGTTATGGAATTATACTTCTCAGTTACCATTCTGACTGCTGGTAACCCTACATGTGCAGGAGAAACCACTTCACAGGCTTTTCAAGGTTATGACCTTTCAGAAGAAGCCCTAGAAACATGAACCGTTTTCATGTGAACAAACAGATACAGTTTCAAAGTGTTAAGGCTTTTGATCCCCTCATCATTTACCCTGATTGCTGTAAGTGACAATATCCCAGTGACTGATGTTTTCAATCCCAATAATTAACTGTACACATGTCAATCACTAGATATTCTCTGACCTAGAAGAACAGCTAGTGTTAACGATGACAGGATGTCTTTCTACTGTAAGAAGTGCATACTCTTCATCTTAAAAAAAAATTATGCTATTATAGTCTTTTCTTCAAAGCTCAATGCTGTTCCCTCGAAAAAGATGACAGATCTGAATGTGCTTTGAAAAATAAGTCATACAAATAAAAAGTAGCACCTCCCCCAAATTACAAATGCATTACACTTCACATGTTGATAGGCAAATCTCCTTTTTTAAATGTAGCATCAGTTTCCCATTATGATCAATGCTATTCTCCTTTGTATCCTGGGAACCTGACACATATTAGAAGTTAGATGAAAGAACTGATGTTTCATATGACACACAAATGTTTAAGTACAGCTCCTCTGCCCTGTATGCCAGTTGCTCTAAACATAGAAGCATCCATATTGAAAATGAGCCATGTTCCATGTTAAAGTCATCATTCTGGGTAAAGGAAGAAGACTATCACAGACATGAGCAGGCCTTGACAAGTTCCAGCTCCACATTTTGCTAGTGGATGGATCGTATAATATCTTGGTGTGGTCATGACATTTTCCCTCTTGGAACTCTGAATCCTAGCAATACATCTCAAAATGTATTCACCCAAGGAGCAAAAGGGGACAGTCACATCACCTTCAACCTTCCACTGGTGACAAAAAAAGAGGGAAAAGTTTAACAAAGGAGAGGTGGGGACTTTCATGTCAGACATTTGTAAGTCCAGAACATTACGCTTTCTTGACTCAGAAAATGCTAGTACTACTACTATACCGGGGAAAAGGCATGTATAAAAGTATGAGAAAGAGTATTTGGAAAAGAACACTCAGAACTAGTAGTTAAGTAGTAGTAGTAGTAGTAGTAGTAGTAGTAGTAAAATAATGAACCCATTTTATATAATGCTTTTATTGTTGCTGTTGTGTACACTGCTGGGTCAGAACCAACCCACAGCTGACTGTCCCAGCGCTTTTCAGAGGCAGCTTAATCACACAGGAAATTGCTCATCTTTCTCCTGCATAGCAGCTGGTGGATTTGAACCATGTGCCTTCAGGATTACAGCACAGTTCCTTCACACTAGGCCACCAGAGTTTCCTATTTTATATAAAATTTCAAATTTTAGATTAAGAACAATTTAAATACTTACAACCCCCCCAAAAAAAGAAATAAACCAAAATTCTTGATTGATTGACCAAATATAAAAAGGGAATAATATGTTATAAAGGCCAGGTCTGGCAGATCTTTTTACTTTTTTCCAACTGCATTCTTTAAGACAGAAAGTTCAGAGATGAAGACCAAGATCCAGACAAGTTTTATAACCTGTGCTGGTGGCCTAGTGGCAAGGAGCTGTGCTGCAATCCCAAAGGCCTGCCGTTCGAGGACACTAGCTGCTCCAAGTGAAAAGATTGCAATCTCCTCCCATGTGATTAACAACTTGCTGAAGGGTCAGCTATGGGTCAGTTCCAACTCTCCTGTGTACAACAACAACAAGGTCACTTCTTGGTAGCAGAAATCCCAACAATTTCTAAATTGCAGTTGTTTTTCTGTTCCACTCGGCTTCTCTAACTGGAATTTGGTGATAATGATACTGGTGATGATAACAATAATAATATCATTTCTTATGCATTTGTTTATTATGTGCCAGATACTGAATTAGGAGTATGAAGCACATTATTCTTTTAAATTCTCACAACAAACATATGAGGAAGACGGTGGCTTTTCACTTTGTCCAGAAAGAAACTTTGGAGAACTTAAGTGACTTTACTGCTGTCACAGGGTTGGGAATGGGAGCCGATGTGGAATTTTGTGTCCTGGCTCCTATCATGCATGATGCTGCTCCCAGTGTGGTTGATGAAACTGTGACCTTGGCTCCCGTCCAGTTACTTGGACTTGAGCCAGTGAAAGTGCAGAGTCCAAACTGACTTTGGCTGTCTGATGGCATACATAACTGGTTTGGGTAGGATTATGTCTGTTCACCAAGTAGCTTAGTTCAGAAGCTAATAAAATTTTCTTTGTGCCTCTCTTTTACAGATATTTGCTTGCATTGCTGAAAGTGATAATGTCCGAGAGACTTCTGTCACTTCTAAAGGGTTGAAACTGAAGAACATTTATAAAAGGAGCACCGTATGCAGGGAAGGCCAGCACCTTGCAGATAGTAGCTTACTATGCTGTCAGCTGTGTCCTGCTGGTATGTTATTTAAACCGTCCAGAGTTTAGAATAAAAATCAGGGTGAGGGGTAGAATATAGTAGCAACGAGTAAAATGTTCATAACTTTTGGCTGCCTTCAATTATAACATTATAATAATTAGGAATAATTCTTATATTAAATAAATGTTAGGAAGCTCTGGTGGCTTAGATGTAAGGACTTGTACTGCCAACTCACAGGATTCAAATCCACCAGCAGCTCCATGGCAGAAAGATGGACAATCCCCTCCGGTGAAATTTACAGCCTCTGGAGGGTCAGTTATGAGGTAGTTCTGACTTGAGTACACAAAACAACAACATTATAACATTACAGAAGGTAGGAAGGAAACTATAAGAGTTCTTTCACAAGATTGTCTAATCTGTAATTTTTGGTTGCCCTACTGCAAATAGCTACAACTTATTAAATGACATGTACCTCTGAAAGAAGAGGATTTGGCAATTGGCTCCATTTAGTAAAAGAGGTAGAAGATTCATTTGTGAGTATTGACTTTTTCACATATGAACTGATGAGAATATTTCACAATGATTTGTGGGACTCTGAAATTAAAAGCTAGCTGATCTTCAGAGATCTACCTCAGCATTTCTCTTCCATCAAAAGGTTACTGAGGGAGCTCTTTGGCACTGAAGCCTGCAAAACACATTTGCATTCTACAGTTGAATAATTAGGTAAGTTAAAAAAGTAGTGGACAAAAAACCGACATTTTGAAAAAAATCAGTATTTTGAAATGCAAAACTAATTTCACACCGGAAATCCATCAAGGGCTAGCAAAAATTGAAGCTAAGCAAAGGCAATGGTGCAGACCTGTCTCATCCTAGAGTAGAGGGACTGCAGTTCCATGCAGGTATGGGGCTCTGTCAATAGTCTGGTAAACACAGACAGGAAGATGAGAGAGGACAACTTAGGAGTTGATGCTCTGCATTAGTAGAACCACAGAGGACTCCGGAAGGTCTTACAGATGGCCTCTCAGGCTTCTAGAATGTAAACTTCAAACTCAAGTTTGTCTTGTTTACAAAAAAACTTGTATCAGTCTTCTTTGGTTTCCTGTTTGTATTTTTAACAACTCAATGGAAAGCTCCTTCTTCATTGCCATTGAATCAGATCTCATAGCTAACCTAGCTGGTTTGTCAGAGGCAGTCAAGAACATGGGAGGAGACTGCCCATCTTTCCCCCACAGACCAGCTGGTAGATTTGAACTTGTTGCTTTTGGGTTAACAGTGCCACTCCCTACCACTGTGCTACCAGAGCTCACCAGATGGATCTTGGCTACAATCATGAAGTACCAAAAAAGTCTTAGTCAATGCAACTATTATTCAAATGTACATTTGAATGTATTGAACAAAAGATACACAACAAAAATATATGAGCCAAAGACGAAGATATTGAGGATACCACCTTTCTTAGGAGTTCTGGCATCCTGTGCTGTAGTCCCAAAGGCGAGAATGATAGTCTCCTCTTGTGTGATTTCCTGCCTCTGAAAACTCACGAAAGGTTTAGCTATGGGTTGGTTCTGGCTCCACAGTACTCAGCAACAACCACTACCACTAACTTGTGCAGCATGAAGTTGATAGGATCTGCTGTCAAGATTCACTAATAATAATTGGTGACTGGAAGGCAAATCCAGAAACAAGGAGCAAGGAGCTGGTAGTTGAAATGACAGGCTTGGTAAGAGAAATGAGGCTGGAGATAAAATGACTGAATTTTTTATATATCAATGATTTATTCACTGTAAATACCTTTTTTAAACAAACAAGCAAATAAAACCCAAGCAACGACTATACACATGGACCTTACCTAATTGACTATAAAGGAATAATATTATTTACATTTGTAGGAAAAATTATTGAAGAAGCTCTGTATCAGCAGTCAAAACCAGGTCAGGTGCTAAATGTGGAAAAGACCATAAATTGCTCAAGTACAAATTCACACTGAAGCGAAGAAAATGAAAACAAAGGCACACAAGAACCAAAATATGATCCTGGGTTTATACTACCTGAATTTGAAAAAGATCTCTAGAATAGATTTGAGGCATTGAACACTAATCATCAAAGACCTGATGGACTGTGGAGTGTCAACAAGGATATCATCCACAAAAACAGCAGGTCATTACAAAGATGAGGGCAAAAGAAAAGACTGAAATGGATGTTACAATTTTACTGGGGAGGCCAAAAGTAAGATAAGGATTGTTAAAATGATAGGGGTAAACATAAGATTTCAAAGGGCAGCTTGAGAAGATAAAGCATTATATTATTTCTTTTTTGTAAACAAACCTAAAAAAAGCATTCTAGTATATTGATATGTGCAAAGAGCTTCAGATGGAAAACAAAAAGAGAAAAACTCACTCAGCATTCCTAGAGCTGAAAGAAATAAAAACAAATTCAAGTCTTGAGGAGTAATACTGAAGGAGGGCATAGGAAAAACTCTAAATGATCAAAGCAGCATCTAGAGAAGATGAAAGGAATACATTGAGTCACAGTACCAAAAATTGGTTGATATGGAGCCATTGTGGAAAGAGGCACATATATGATCAGGTGATGAAGAAAGAAGTTCAAGCTACACTGAAAGCAGTGGCAAAATATAAGGCCCCAGGAATTGATGAGACACCAATTGACATGTTTCAACAAGCAAATGCAGCCCTCCTCAAGAGACTCACTAAGAAATTTGGACAATAGCTAGGTGGCCAACAGACTAGAGGTCTGTATTTGTTCCCATTCCCAATAAAGGTAACCTAACAGAATGTGAAAGTTATTGAACAATATCATTAACAGAACATGCAGGTAAATTCACATTGAAGATTATTTAAAAACAGCTACAACAGTACCTTGACAGAGAAATGCCAGAAATACAACCTGGATTTAGAAGCGGCCTTGCTCTGGGGATATCATTGCTGATGTCAGATGGATCCTGCCTGAAATTCAGTTATACTGGAAAGATGTCTACTTGTGCTTTATCGACTATGCAAAGACATTTGATTGTGTGGATATAACAAACAGTGGATAATAGTAAAAAGAATGGGAACTCCAGAACACTTAATTGTGCTCATGTGAAACATATACCTAGTCCAGGAAGGAGAGCAAGGGAACACTCCTTGGTTTAGAATCAGCAAAAGTGTGTGTCAGGGCTGTATCCTCTCCCAATACTTGTTTAATCTATATGCTGAACAAATCATTAAAAGAGCTGGACATTATGAAGAAGAATGTGACATCAAGATTGGAGGAAGAATCATCAACAGCCTGTACTGTGCTACAATTTTGTTTGCTAAAAAGGAAAACTTGAAGTACTTGCTCCAAAAGAACAGATTACATCTCAGCAAAAAAGAATACAAAATTCTTACCACTGCGCCAATCTTTACCAGAATTACGCTTGTGTGTATATTAGTTCATTACACAATTTCTACTTGCTGTGGAATTGCCGTTTTTGTTTCTGAATGTGCACAGATATGAATGGATCTCATTGCGTAAACATTTCTTTGCACAGATGAATGAGTACGTCTTTGCGTAGACAAGTGAGATAAGCAAGGCTCCATCTTTTTTGCTGAAGCACTTCAATTGGTATTCCATCAATTCCTGGAGCTTTTTTCTTGTCAATGTCTTCTGTGTAACTTAAACTTCTTCTTTCAGTAGCATTGATTCTTGATGATGTGCCAATTCCTGAAACGGTCCATTGTCATCCAGTTCTTTTTGGTCCAATGACTCTGTATTCCCTCCATCTCTTAGAAGTTTGCTGTGTCCCTCAGCATTTTGCCGACAGAATCCTTTACTATTGCATCTTAAAGCTTGAATCTGTTTTTTATAAAATAGGTCAGATCAAATAATTATAAAATCCCAAGGAAAAGTTGTAAAAATCTAGAAAGATTTTATTTCAGATTATTGATGATTGATGTCTTTACTTTTTTTCTTCAAGAAGAAAACTGAAAGTTAATAGGTGATAAATTAGGGGTATGACTTGAGGCAAGAAGAATATGGGATTATGTATAAAGTGTTGTACAGATAAAGAATAGTCAACATCTTAGTTATCTTGTTCTGGTGTAGCAACCTCAACAAAAATGCTACATGTGAGAGGTTTTCATTTTTCTTCTCATTGTTCCAGAAGCTCAAAAACTAACTGAAAGCATGGCCCTAGGAGGTGATCCTTCTTTGTCTATTTCATCTTCTTGGACCTGCCAGAAATCCTTGGTATTCCTGGTCTTGTATATGCAGTTACCACGTGGGTTTGTTTTCCTATGCCACCCTCCCATACACACTATGTATGTCCCTATCTATTTTGCTCTTTTCATAATTCACTAGTAGGATTAGAACCTACCATATTTGGTATGCCCTCATTAAAATAAAAGAAAGCTCCTATTTACACACAAATCATATTTACAGGTTATTGTTAGGTGTCTTTGAGTTGAGTGTGATTCATAGTGACCCTATTCAGAACAGATATGAATTCTGTCTTATCCTGAGCCATCTACATAATCTCTTGACACAAGTGAGCCCATTGCTGCAGTCACTGTGTTAATGCACCTTACTGGGGATCTTCATTGACCTTCCACCTTTCCAAGCATGATATCCCTTTCCAAGGAATAGCTTCTCTTAGCAACATGTCTACAGTATGAAAGATGAAGCTTCACCACCTTTGCCTCTAAGGAGCCCTCTTCTGGTTGTGTCCTTGCCAAGACAGGTGTGAACTTGTTTGTTTACATGTACAGGGGTTACATTTTCAGCACATATGTTACTGTTGTTGTTAGGTGCCACTGAGTTGACTGTAACCGTATGGACAACAGATCTGAATTTTGCTTTGTCCTGAGCCATCCTCACCATATGCTCGAGTCCATGGTTACAGTTACTATGTTAATCCATTTCATTGAGAGTCTTCCTCTTTTTTTCTGAGCCTCAACCTTCCCAGCATGATGTTTTTTTCCAAGGACTTGTCCCTCTAAAAAACATACTCAAAGCATGTGAAATGACATTTCACCCTCCTTGCCTTTAAAGAACACTCTGGTTATCCTTCCTTCAAGACAGATTTCTTTGTTTTTTGTGTAGTCTGTGGAATATTTAGTACTCTTCTCCAACACCACAATTCTGAAGCATCAATTCTTCTTTTCCCATCCTTATTAATTGTCCAGCTTTCAGATGCATAGGAAGCAAATGAAGATATCACTGCTTGGATCAGATGTACTCTAGTCCTTAAACTGATATCCTTGCTCTTTAGATCTTTAGATAAGCAGCTTACAACATATTTCCCCAATCCAACACATATTTTTTTTCATGCTTTATGTGTGTTGTTAAGAGGGGTCAGTGCTTGAAGAACATCATGCTTGGAAAGGTGGAGTGACAGTGTAAGAGAGGAAGATTAGCTACAATAAATGTAGCAATGGGCTCAAGTGTGTTGGAGATGGTGAAGACAGCACAGAACTGGGGAGGTTTCCGATCCGTTGTTTATAAGTTCGCTATGAGTCTTACTTGACTTGATGGAACATACATACCAACAACAGCTACCAAGGATATTGATCATGAATCTAAGTAAAATGAACACTGGTAACGTCAATATTTTCTCCATCTATCATGATGTTACCTATTGGTTCAGTGGTGAGGATTTGTGTTTCCTTGATATAGAGAGTATGTTTGACATCAGAACCTTGAGTTCAAATACCTTCCCTCCTTAGAAGCTACATAATTTAAACTTCCCTAAACACTAATATTCCCATATGTGAAATGGGGATGATGATGATGATAATGACATATATATTAGGGAGACATAGTTCAATCCTGAACAGTGGACCAACAGGCTATATAACACAATACATGGAGAAAAGCTTGAAGTTGTTAACAACTTCATTTTACTTGGATCCACAATCAGCACCCTTGGTTGACAGCAGCAGTAAAGAAGTAAAAAACATGTTGAATTTGAGAAATCTGCTTTCAGATACCCAGCCAAAGTTCTAAAGAGTAAGGATGTCTGTTTAAAGACTAAGGTGCATCTGATCCAAACCTATGCATCTGTTATTGTTGTTAGGTGCCGTCAAGCCATAGTAGCATCCACTACTGAAATAGCTTGCCTCCAGAAACTCTATGAACATGGAGAAATGATGAAAGTTATACAAATGGTAGGGTCTTTTGTTCATAGGGTCACTATGAGTCATCTAACAACAACATAGAGAGAGCTCTGTTGGCCTAGTGGATAGAAAGTTATGCTACCAAGCCAAAGGTGGGTGATTTTAATCTGCGGCCCTCGGGCCTGGTTTTAATTGGTTTTGGTCAAACATTCTTCTAAGTGGTATAGCATTTGTCTGTCCATTTGCTGTACAGAGGTAACTTGTGGTTGCTGTGATGCTAAACACTGTGACACTCATATGTCAAATGCGATAATGGTTACCCATGGTGGACAGTGTTTGGTGGAGCTCTAAAGATTACAGCCATAGAAGTCAGCCCCAGTGGGGTAACTGGTTAGTGTGTGGTACTTACAAAGATTACAGCCTTAGAAATACTTTAGAGCAATTCCGTTTGGTCATTTATTGTCCCTATGAGTTTGAATATGCTCAGTAACACCCAATAATAATAAATACTCCCCTTCTTTTTGAGTAATTTTTTGTGATCACCCCTGCATATTCCTTGTGTGTTGCAAGAGTACCTCACATTCAAACACTTGTTTTTCCCCATTTTTTTCTCTTGGACAGGTCGATGGAAAAGTAGAGACTGCGAAGTCAGTGAGGGAGCACCAGTTTGTGAGCTATGTGAAGAAGGGAAAGAGTACACAGAAAATGACAATTATTTAAATAGGTGTTTCAAATGTAAATATTGTGATGAAGTACATGGTAAGTACTTTAAAAAACAATAAAAATGGATAGATCTTGAAGACAAATGTTGAGTGAAATAAGCCAATCACAAAAAAAGTAAATACTGTATGACTTCACTCTCATACAAAGACAAAAAAAAAAAAAGTAATGTATACAGACCACAGCTTAGTGGTGGCTTCCAGAGTTGAGAAGAGGGTGAAAACAGAGAGGTTAATGATGGAAAATGAAACTGATTAAATAAGGGGTGTATTGCACAGCCAATTTTTATAATTGTTGTCAATAAGTTGTACACCTATAAAATGTTGCTTTGGCAAAAGTTGTGTGATAAATGTTATTTGCAATAACCAAAAAGAAGTAGTGGCTGAGGCTGCTTTTATACAATTACCTCATGAGTTGTGGTTCCTTGTTTTAAAGGTTTAGGGCCATAGATTTATAGAATAACCCAGTTAACTGGGCTAATGGAGCTATGTTTGCCTAGTGGTAAGAAGCTACACAGCAATCCCAAAGACAAATGGCTCAAACCACTAGCCGATCCACAGGAAAAGGATGGGCAATCTCCTCCTGTGCGATTTGCTGCCTCTGAAAACCCACTGTAGGGTCAGCTATGGGCCCTTCTAACTCATTTACACACAAGAACAAGAATGCATTTAGTGCTTCTGTTTTACCTCCTCATTTGTTGTGTAAAGCCCTTAATCATAAAGCCTTCCAAGTAGCCATCCAAAGTACAGGAACCATTCAACTGGAGTAACAGAAAGTTAGAAATAGGGGCAGGATAGGGAGTGCTTGGCTAATCGGCTCCACAGACAGCTGCCTCTTTCACCATGAGACCAGAAAACTCAGTTATGCCAGTGACATTAATGAACATTTTAACCACAGTCTACAGAATTAGTTTGTGAAAAGGGAGAGAATGCAGAAAAGAACTTCAAAGTCTCATGGACTCTAAGCTTCTAGGATGAGAGGAAAAGGAGAACTGCTAATTAAATAATGTTGTTGTTGTGTGCTGTTGAGTCAGAACTGACCCAGAGATGACCCTCTAGATTTTCAGAGGCAGTGAACTGCTTGGGAGGAGACTTCTCATTCTTCTCTCACAAAGCAGCTGGTGGATTTGAACTGCATGACTTTGGGACTATGGTGTAGCTTCTTACCACTAGGCCACTAGAGCACCTTCAGATAAGAATTAATTAGATAATAGATACATACTATGTTGAGTGAAAAGACAGGCTATATAAAATAAGGTATGATCAGCATAATATCACTAAAGGAAAGAAATACATGGAGAGCTAGCACCAGAGTTATAGACAACAAAGGTATATGCTATTACATAAATAAATGATCCTGCACTTTTGGTAGTAATAAACATTAATCTACAAGTAGATGTAGATGTAGATAAATAAGCATTAAAGGAACAGATAGGGATGAGTGCAAAGAACTACATCATGGCCATGCATAGGTTTGGAAAGTGCTGTTTGTACGTGTGTATTTGTATGCTGCAAATATATCCCCATCAGGGGAAAACATATAGACTTTTAACCACAACCAACCACAATGAGGGGATGGGTCACTGGTTATGGGGCCTCAGGACTATAGTCTTGGGGGACATCAAGGTCAGTTGGCATAAAATAGTTCAACAAGGATAATGTTCCACACTCGACATCAGTGATTAACAACTGGGTCTTAAAAAACTTGTGAGCAGCCAACCATCTATCGTCCTTCTATGTCCAAAACAAAGTGAAGAAAATCAAATGTGCATGTTATGGTCGTTAAACAATTTTACAGTTTGGATAAACTTTCACTCAAATCACACAAAAAAATCTTTTATTAAAAAAAGACAGGAAATCCAGTTGACAATAGTAACTTGAAAAATTAGACAGGAATTTTAGAGGACAGTGAGCTTACGTTAATAAGGGAGGGACAAAGGATAAGGTGGGGTGAGACTTGTTGGACAATATGAAGAATGCAATCAATGTCAATAAACTGTATATGTAGAAATTAGTGACCTGTTATGCATATTGCTGTATGTATTCTCCAAAATAACAACAAATTAAATGAAATGAAGGCAGGGGGTGAATCAAGAGACCAAATGTGTAAGTCAAATCTAAGCCATTTCCCCAGAAGTAGGAGAATGAATGTGGGTCACGTGAATAAGGCTTGTCAAGTCAAATCAGAACCACAGACATGATCCACCCACGATCCATACTGGTGCTCATGTGGGGGCCCTTGTTCTTGACCAGGAGTATCATGGAAACCTGAAGATACAAAGACAGAGAAGAAGCTTCTGGACAGGAAAAACTTCTGTCCATAATCAGGTTCTAAAGAAACCAGGCTCTCATTCTCACTAAGTGAAACTGGCCCATAGCTGACTCTCCAGTGGTTTTCAAGGGCTGTAAATAGCACAGAAGGAAAATGTTCATTTTTCTCCTTTAGAGCAGCTGGTGGTTTCAAACCACCTGTCTTTAGCAGGGCAACTCCTTACCCAATAGGCCACCAGAGCTTGTGAGGATGGTGCAAGATAGGGCACTATTCCAGACTGTAGTTTATAAGGTAGCTTCCAGTCATAGTTGACTCGAAGGTACATAGCTACAACAGAAAGCTTTTTCTATCTTGGCTTAAAACAAATAAAAATCTTTAAATTAGGGCCTTGATATTGGTCTGATTCTATAAGTTTCAGGCAGAACCTACCATTCTGCTTTTTTACCAAGGTTCCAAGAAGCCCTGGTGGCATAGTGTTTAATCTGTCAGGCTGCTGCTAACCAAAAGGTGAGCCGTTCAAATGCAACAGCCACTCCTCAGGAGGAAAGTGGAAAATTCTCTTCTTGTAAAGATTTTCAGCCTTGGGAACCCGATGGAGGAAGGTCATTGTCATCAGAACCTACTCGATGACAGTGAATTTTGTGGGTTTAACAAGCTCTAGGCCATGCTGACACGGCTGGTCCATGGCCCATACTTAGGGGACCCAGTCTCCACACTTGGGACCTAGGGGAGCCTTCTAGATGGGTGAGTTACCTACGGCATTGCCAAATGATTACTGGCTCTTTCAGCTTGGTCTATACTGTGCTTACAGTAATTGTGTTACTAAAAGCATGATGTCTGTGACTACTGATATGAGTTGTGCATAAACAAAATCTATGAAGCTCTGCCTATCATTTCCATAGTCCATTTAGAAATAGTTTTTGTAATTTTGCCCACTGGTTTTCTAGGACTGGAAGTGGCAAAAAACTGTACCCGGACCCAGAACACCCAGTGCAGATGTAAAGCAAACTTTTTCTGTATTAACTCTCTGTGTGACCAATGTGAACCTTGCAGCACGTAAGTTTTAGTCTTTATTTTCTTGAAACACTAGACAGAGCTTAGGAGACAACATCGTCTAGGTTAAGGAAACACTGGCTGTGAGTTAAGTGTTTGCTTTGCCTCCAAGCAGTAAGATGGCCATTGGCTCATTTAAATGTCAACACATCTAATATTACTAGTACTGAAAGTTTTGGTCTAGAGGTACAGAGAGTTAAGAAAAGTGGTAGTGTAGAATGAGTATAAGGATCCAGGAGGGGTGGGAGAGGCTGGAAGCAGAGGGATGTGGATGTGCAGGGTGAAGAAGGGATTAATCATCGGGCTGTACAATTTGATGGGGGGCGGGGTGAGGGAAATGGAAAGAATTTGTTCGAATTTGTATTGTTGTTGTTGTTGTTATGTGCCATCGAGTCGTTTCCGACTCATAGCGACCATTTTGTAAATAAACTGGTGAAAACCATTAAAAAATGACAAAGGAAAAAAGATCAAAGAATAGTGGTAGTTACTTATGTGTCAGTCTAGTGACTGTAACAATGTATTTGAGCATGGCTGAGATTGTGAGGATGGTGCAGGATAGGCAAGGTTTCAATCTATTGCTCATAGAATTTCTCTGAGCCATAATCAACTAGCAGCTACCAATAAAAACAATTCCATGTAGCAAGCATTGGAACACATCTGTGCCAGGAAATTTTTGAACTCCGCCTGGGAAGATGGGGTTGGAACTATGATACATAGCTTGAATCTTGAAAGAAAAAGAAAGCACTAGCATATGTATGCAACTGGAAAGCCCATTTCATGTAGGGTAATAACAGCTGCAAAGAGGTAAGAGAAGCTTAGGAGACCTGGGGTGAGTTAAAGCTAGACAAGGAGCCATGGCTAGATCATATACGGTCTCATATTTCATCTTTAAGAGCCTGGCTTTCATCCAAAGTTAGAAAATCTGTTTCTGCATCTCACTTTCCTGCTGAATAACCAAGTGAGCGTGGTCACTTGCCGTCCCTCTAGTTTACTCACACAGGATGCAGGCACTATTGGGGTGTAAGCAGTATTATTTGTCTCATCTGCCACATTTCTGTGAAGATGCTAGTGGAAGATAAATGTGGTGAAAGTGACTTATGCTTTATACATTGTTATTTTGTATGAACAGAAAGGTCTAAGATTAACATTCATTTGCTTCTCTTAAAACCTGAGACTCATTTTCAGAAACTCCTAAGTAAATGTTCATTTAGTCAATCTAAAGAGTAGGAATATTATACTTTACACCACTTCTTGCCAGGAAAAAAAAATCTAAGTTATATTCATCTATATTCTTTCCAACTCTGAGAGTCTTGAGAGAATTTCAAGGTTGAAGGACAGGTCTGAATTGAAAGATGTCAGGGGTAGGAAAAAGGGGCTCAAGGATAGCTTAGTAAACTAAGAATACTAGTAGTTCTCAATAGTTTATAATCATTAGTCAATTATTTTTCACAACTAGTTGTGCTAAGTAATCTACTTGTGTCTTCTCATTTATGAGTAACAGTTTTGGTGCCTTGCTAAGATCAGGTAGATAGGGTCAGCAACAGAACCAGGTCAAGGCTTTCTGACTGAAGATAGCGTCACATGAGCATCGTGCATCATCTAATCACCACTTGATGTTAAAATCGTCAACGTTTACAGGCCAACTGGCAAAATTAATTTTGTTTGGCCATTTTGTTGTTTTAAGTTACTCCTTCGACATTTTCCTGGGTAAGTTTTGACTTGAAGACATTTTTCATCCAAACATCAAAGTTATATTATGAATTTGTACCCATTTCAGAGACTAATTGATGGGAATGGAGAGAATGGGTTTGCCAAAGATGAGTAGAATGACCCTGCTTTATAGTGAGTGTGTCATTGCAATGATCATGAAACAAGTGCACTCAGGCTCTTAGTATTTCCTCTGCATTTTTTTTTCTAGGTGTGAGCATGGAATCATTGAGAAATGCACACCAACTAGTAATGCTAAATGCAAAGAAAAAGGTTATTATTTCAAGTTCTATTCTCCTTTCTCCCACGCCCAAGATAAAAAAATATAAATATATATTTGATTCTGTTTGAGAGCATTTTCCTTCATTTTAAATATTGCTTATTTTTGTACGTAGTGTCGACAGCATCTAATTTACGGTGGCTCTGGGTCCTTGTGACGCTTCTGTTTATAGGTGCAATTACAGGTGCAATATTTTGGGGTAAGTTCTTGCTTTGTTCAAATTATAGTGGGAAATAATGTCTGAAAGCATTTTTCAAAAGCAGTCTCTGGGGTCCTCGTGATAAGAAAGCAATAGTTACATAGATACGTGGGTGTGGAGTTCCTAGGTGGTTCACTCATCTGCTAACCAAAAAAGTACTCTCTTCCACTGAGTCAATTTTGATTCATGGAAACCTTTCACTAGGTGTGTTAAGGTCTAAACCAAGCACATTGCTTATTTTTGGAAGGCGATATGCTAAAAAAAAAATTTAAAAAATCAGCCTTAGAAACTTCTAGGGAGAAATAAGTCAGTATGAAAAGACAAATACTGAATAAACTCCCTTACATGAAATACGCAAATAAATGGAGACCAAAGGCCACTATTATTTGGGAAGGAGAAAGGTGAGACTTTGCTTAGGGATGGCACTCAACTTATATTGGTTGTAGAATACTTTGAGAAAGGATAGTCATAATGGTTATATAGCATTGAATAACGTGATCAGGACCACTGACTTGTACATATAGAAAATTATTTCTAAAACAAAAAGAAGCTTACAAGGCACAGTTCTACTCTAACACACAGAGGGTCTCCACGAGTCAGAAAGGATGATAACTAGTTTTACCAGGTAGGTAGTTCTGTTGTACTATTAAATTCCTGTCATCAAATGAACCCTTAACCCTGAGACCTGATTAAGCAGTGATCCAGGGATCACTCAACTATTCTTTCTGAGTAACTGGGGCAATGACTGGTATTCCCCTCCACCCTTTGAACAACTGAAGAGGTGGCCAAGAACATGAGATTGCCTCAGGCATTAAGAGAACAAAAAATGAATCCTTCCAGGGGCAAGGACTGCAGGTTATACCAGATGTCACAGAGGACACTTGATTAACTCATTCTTGTTCGTGCTGCTTCTCCCTTGACCAACGTCAGTGCTCCTTTGATTCTTAAATTCATCTTACCTTAAAATGCTGAAGTGACACAATGCATGGAAGGGTTACTCAATAAGGTCAGTAGGCAAACAAAAATTGAGCATAATCCTAATTACTATAGAAAATCCCCGTAAATCATGCACAAAGCAAAGAGTGAGGCCGATTCAGTAGAACTCAGAAGAAGTGAGGCTTTTCTCTCTGTTGGAACAAGCTTCAGTCCAGCTGAAGATAATGATATTGCTTGGCACTTAGAGACTCCATAGCTAAAAAATCCATACTCACTGCTTAAATTGTGTTTGTATGTGGAGACCTACAGGTCCATGCCTTCTATCTTGTACTGATTCCAAGGCAGATGCTCATTGAATATGTATACTTTTCTGAGTGTGTGTACTTGAATTTCTGGGCATTAAGTATTCTTCCCTGAAAAGCTGATACCGACTTCTCGAGCCCTAGGCCTCTGTGCCCTGCTTGAAAGCTGTGCAAATCTACTTGTTGTTAGGTGCCGTTGAGTCAGCTATGACTCACCAAGCCCCTCTATGAACAACAGATCTGAGCTTTGCCCTATCCTGTGCCATCATCACATCCCCCCACCCACCACGCTGAAGCCCACTGTTGCAGCCATTGTGCCAATTCATCTCATTCAGAATATTTGCTTCTTTCAAGATCCCCCTTTCCCAGGATACGGGCTTTTCCCAAGGACCGCCTCTTCCCAGCAGCATGCCTAAAGAATGTGTCTCCTTCTTGCCTCTAAGGGCTGTTCTGGTTGCACAACCTCCAGAAAGATCTGTTTTGGTGGCCCTGAAATAGCTCAAAAGCCAGCCTCACATTAAGCCAGCCTATGGCAAATGGATGAGTCAATTAGGATATGCTGTCTCTCTGGGATACTTGTTGAGTCCTTGCAGGGTACAAAGGATACATGTGCTTCACTGCTAACCAAACAGTGGGGTGTCTACCCAGAGGCACCTCAGAAGAAAAGTCGGGCAATCTGCTTCCAAAAATGAACCACTCAGAACAGTCCTGCTCTGAGACACGAGGAAACCATGAGTTATAATTAACTTGATGACACCTATTTTTTGTTTTGCGCTTGAATTTGTGACCTCAGGGAGTGGGATTTCCAAAATCAGGACAATACAGCCTAGTGTAGTTCTGGGCCACCCTGACTTGTTGTTATGTGCCGTCGAGTCGCTTGCAACTCATAGCGACCCTATGTACAACAGCCCTAAACTCTGCTCTGTCCTGTGCCAGTCGCACTGTCTCTGACACTCTCATCCCGATTATCTCAGTCACTGAATCAACCCACCCCATAGAGGGCCTTCCCCTCCTGCGCTGTCCCTCCACCCTCCCAAGCATGATATCCTTCTCCAAGGACCGGTCTCTCCTCACAACATGTCCAAAATATGTTAGATGGAGCCTCAGAATCCTTGCCTCCAAGGAGCCACCCGGTTTAACCCTTTCCAGGACGAATCTGTTTGTTTTCCTAGCAGTCCATGATATTCTCAATACCCTTCTCCAGCACCACAGCTCAAAGGCATCAATTCTCCTTCTATCCTCCTTGGTCATTGTCCAACTCTCTGATGCATAACAAATGATTGCGAAGACCATGGCCTGTATCAAACGCACCTTAGTCTCCAGAGAGACACTATTGTTCTTCAGTACTTTGGAGAGGTCCCTAACAACAGACTTTCCCATGGTAATGCGCCTTTTAATTTCCTGGCTACTGGTGCCAAGAGTGTTGACTGTGGAGCCAAGCAAACTAAAGCTGTGTACAATCTCAATCTCTTCACCATCCATCCTGATGCTGCCAATTGGTCCAGTGGTGAGAATCTTTGTCTTTTTGACATTGAGCCTCAATCCATATTGTAGGCTGCAGTCCTTGACCCTCTGCAGCAGGTGTTTCAGGTCCTCTTCATTTTCAGCAAGCAGGGTTGTGTCATCTGCATAACGCAGATTGTTGATAAATCGTCCACCAATCTTGACCCCACATTTCTCCTCATAGAGCCCAGCCTCCCGGATAATCTGTTCTGCATATAGGTTGAAAAGGTATGGAGATAGAATGCATCCCTGGCGTACACCCTTCCCAATTTTGAACCATGCAGTGTTCCCTTGTTCTGTTCTGACAACTGCCTCCTGGTCCAAGTATAGGTTTCGTATTAGAACGATCAAGTGTTCTGGGATTCCCATTCTTCTCAGAGTCAGCCACAGTTTGTTATGATCCACACAGTCAAATGCCTTTGCATAGTCAATGAAACACAGATAGACATTCCTCTGGTATTCTCTGCTTACTTACCTTTATAAAATTCTGTTACTGTGAGACTATATTCTCAGGTATTTCTACCCCACTAACAACTGAGTTTGACAAATTTCTTTGATCTTTCAGTGAGAAAAAGATGCAGAAAAAGCAAACAAGAAATTACTGATCTCTGTGGCCTAGATGTAAGTATTGAAGCATCAGCTCTCTTATAAAGAAAAAGAGTAAATAATATTGTTTATCTACTATTTCTAAAGCAACTTTTTTTTGCACAACTGTTTGTTGCATGGATATGAAGGGTACCAAAATGAATTAAGATATGGTGCTTAATTGATAACTTTCTATACAAATGACATAAGAATTTTTAAAAGGGTAAATAATGTGCTCAATATGAAGTTTTTATGTTTTTTTTTTAAATTTTATTATTTTTTCTGTGTGTACCATCACATTGGATCTGAGTTGTACAGGAGGAGACTGCCCCTCCTTCTCCAGCAGAGCATCCGGTGGATGAGAACCGCATATCTCTGGGATTGCAATGCAGCTTCTAGCCACTAGGCCACCAGAGCTCCCTAATATGAAGTTTTTAAAGGGCATGACCAACGTCTGTGCTCTATGTAGGTGTGACTCCAGTAGAGAGATGACAAAGACTCCCATTTTTTTTTGCCATGGGCAGCACTGGGATTTTGTAGCCAAATCAATACAGAGAATTAGCTCTTAAAGCTCCTCATATAGACACATTTTAACACTCTCTCTGTACCTGTTGCCTTAATCTTTTGTATAACTTCTTCCAACATGTAATTAAGGCATTTCCAAAAGCAAAAAGATACCCTGGGAATAAATTCCCACTGAACTGGGTAAGAATTTTGCACTTGAGGGCAGGACCAATTAAAATTCTTTAAATAAATATGGCATAGAAAATCCAACTTGAGGCATCTATTTTTGCTGTCAAAATTAAGGATGTTACAATGAAGTAAGTTTTACAGTGTTTATCATGCTTATTTTAATGTATATGTGACAAGTAAGAGAGCGCTGGTGGTCTACTGGCAAGAAGCTATGCAGCATTCCCAAAGGCATATGGTTCGAGGCCACCAGCCAGTCTATGGAAGAAGGATGGATAATCTCCTCCCATGCGATTAATTGATTCTGAAAACATGCTAACATGTCAGCTATGGGCCAACTACGGAGGGTCACAGCAGCATGAAAAATAATCTCAAGAATGATTCTGAAGAATTCCTAAAACTCTAAACCGTAGTGAACTTTGTAAGTCAGCATTGTTTAGTTCCTGCCAAGGCTGGAGCTTCTCAGAATCCTCTTTTGAATGGTAGAATACCTTCTTCTTAATCACTTAGTCCAGTTTTCTGATTATCAGCTAACTTGTTATACTTTGCTCTGAAATCAGAAGATTACATGCTATTGTTCTGAATAGATTTTTCATTCTCTATTTCTTTTTTGGCTCCTAGGAAGAAGACAGAGCTCTTCTTCCAGGTAAGATTTTTAGTATTTTATCCTCATAGAAGTGAATTTCTTAGGAGTAACAGGCCAATTTCAAAGTAAAAGAGTATTTACTCATGTCAATGACATATTGTGGGATCTAGCTTTTATTTCTTGAGCTTAGAGGTTATCACAATAGTTTCTCAGAGAAGTTTTGGTCAAACATTCTTCTAGGTTGTATAGCCCTGGTCTGTCCACTTGCTGTACAGAGGTAACTCATGGTTGCTGTGAAGCTGAACACTGTGACACTGACATGTCAAATGCGAGAATGGTTACCCATGGTGGGCAGTGTTTGGTGGAGTTCCCCAAATCAAACAAGCTTGGAAGCAGGAGAGGCATCCACTTATGAAATAGCTTGCCTCCAGAAACCCTATGAACCTGAAGAAACGATGAAAGTTATACCAGTGTTCATGTCATTTGTTCATAGGGTCACTATGAGTGGCCTACAGCTCGATGGCACTTAACAACAACAACAACAACAACAACTATTATTCATAGTTAAAAATAAACCAGGTAGCCACTCCCCAGATTGTAAATACTTGCTATTTTTGGCGATCTGAAAAGTGGCACTGGATGAAGGTGCAGTGAACATGACCTGACCAAAGTAAAATGTCACTAAGAAATGCAGAAGAGTGTAGGATGTTTATGCTAAAGTATATGGTACGCATAACTAGGCAACAATGTCAACAGTAACCTAAAATGAGTGTATGTACATGGACACAGATGTCTAGGCTTACAGATACCACTCAGAGTACAGAGAGCTCCACTCCATTGTAGTTTTCATTGCTGTGTGCCATCAAGTCGGAACTGATCAACAGCTGACTCTTCAGCAGGTTTTCAGAGGCAGCAAATCACATGGGAGGAAACTGTCCCTCCTTCTCCCCTAGAGCAGATGGTGGTTTCAAACCATGTGCCTTTGGGATTGTAGCGCAGCTTCTTCCCACTAGGCCACCAGAACTCCCTAGACCACCACAATAAAGGGAATAGTGAAATAAAGCAAGTCACATGAAGTGGGTTCCCCCCCCCCACACTGCACATAAAAGATGTTTTACACAATTCTGTAGTCTACTAGGGATGCAAGAGTGGTAAGAAAAAAAGTCAGAAACATTGTGAGAATTACCGACATATGACACACAGACACAAAGTGAGCAGAAGCTGTGGGGGAAAAAGCACCAACAGACTTGCTTGATCCCAGTGAGCCAGAAACCTTTAGTCTGTAGAAAAAATACCGTATCTGTTAAGCATACTAAAGTAAACTGCAGTAAAGTGAGGTGTGTTTGTAGACATATACAAGTAGATACAGAGTAACGCATGTGTATGCACAGATAGAAAGATCTCTATGTACATGAACAAACTGGTATGTATGTATGAATATGCATATATACTCATAGAGGACACAATTTTAGACATAATCAAACACCTTAAAATACTGACTTTAGGATTTAAAAATGTAGGTCCTTAGTTTCATGGCTCTGTCAACTGGCACCTAAAGTTTATGCTCTGAATCTTACTGAGTTCAGTAGACTCTAGAATTTTAAAAGCTTGTGAGTTGCCATTGAAAATGCCAACACTTGATTAACTTAGTCCCATAAGTACAAATACTGTATGAAACCATTACTGTAAACATAGAAAGATAACTAGTAAAATGTGTATGAGGATCCAAGGGGAGGAGGGTAGAAGCATAGCCATGACAATGGACAGAGGGGAAATCAGAGGGCGGCACAATTTGATGGAAGGGGGGAGGGGGGAGTAAAGGAAATGGGAAAGATCTGGTGGGGATCTGGAAAGACAGGGCAATGGTGGGCATAGTTCAATGTAGATTAATTTTATAAAATATAATTAATCAGAATGATTGTATGACACACAATGTGTATTAACTCTGTAGGCAATCCAATATAATTTTTTTAAAAAAAAATGCATCACTTAGTTTCTATTTGTTAGAAGAAAAATAGAAAGAGGAAAACCAGTCTTAGAAATCAGTGCAAAGGGCTATTGACCTATACAAACTTAGCTCATCCTCATCTACTCCGAGACCAGAAAAACTAAGTGGTGCCCGGCTACCATTGTTAACCATTCTAATTTGGTTCATCATTGGTGGACGTGGGGAGAATGGGAGAATAATGCAGAACAGAAATAAAATTCTTAAAAAGTCCAGGCATACTGGACCAGCTGAGACCACAGGATTCATCAAGTCTGCTGCTTGAGATATTCATTAAATCTTGAATGGAGATTATCCAGAGGTCACTGGCTTTTAGTGAAATAATATATGGCCATACATTAAAACAGACATGGGGGGGGGAGAGAAGAACGAACTGGGGATGAGGGTGGAGAAAACAGTGCAACAATGAATGAAAACCCAAAAATCTCTGTAAATGTTCATTAAAACTAATAAAATTTAAAAAAATATATGGCCATACAAAATAAAGGATATTTACCATGAATAAGAAATGCTTTAGTCTAAGGTATGTGAGAAATTTTCTTCATAATTTAGTTATGTGCCTAAGCTAACTGAGATGTTAATCTGAATTGTTGAGTCAATTATTATTGATGTTGTCAAGGTCTTTAACAACATACATGATCCTGCTCTGTTCTATGCTTTATGTTTCATACATAATTAAAAACTTTGTACTTTTAAATTTGTGAATCATTAGGTTATCAGGTTATAAAGAAATTTAGAGATAATCTTTCCTAACTTCATTATTTTACAAATGGGAAAAGATGATACAGATCTTTTCCAGGTCATATAGTAATTTACTGGGGACATGGAGTTACAATTAGAATTTGCTTTTCCTTTTTCTTTTTTATAATTCCCATTAGCTTTCGAGATCTTTAAGTCTAAATTATATTCTTTAAGTACAACAAGGAGGGAAATACACATGGTTTACAAATAATAGAAAATTTCTTTTAGAAAAAAAAGCATTTTCTAATACCGTTTTCTATTTTTTAGATATTGACTTGAGTGAATATATCACGTACATTGCTTACAGAATGACAATGAATGAAGTTAAAGAATTTGTTCGAAAGAATGGTACCGAAGAAGCCAAAATAGATGAGATTAAGAGTAACTATCCCCAAGATGCAGCTGAACAGAAGGTCCAAATGCTCCGTACCTGGTATCAACAACATGGGAAGAAAGGTGCATATCGCACTTTGATTACAGGCTTAAAGAAAGCGAATCTCTGTGCACATGCAGAAAAACTCCAGGAATTAGTTCAGAAAGGCCTTCCCAGTGATGCCAAAACAGCAAGCATCACAAATGAAAATGAAAGACAAAGCTCAGCAGAGACTTAAAAATAAGCTCAGTTCTGAGACTGAACAATAATCAGTAGGAACAAAGAGAAAAATTTGGTACTGCTTATTGCACATCTCAGGTTGGACTAGGCACATTCTAAGTGCCCAATAGCTACATACAGTTGGTGGTTACTGCATAGAAGCACTAAGGTCTGTATTGCTGTTAGAGCAGGTCTTGAGATCAAACTACCTATGGATAATTAAACAGTATACTAAATACTCAAATGAGAATCCAGGGAAAGGACAATTATTGGGACTGAGATGAGGTATGTGACTGAATACTAAGGCCTCTATACACAGGCTGGCTAGGCATGTGCTTTGGCAATGGTCTGCTTACACCTCCCCAGTGACTGCTCTTCGCCCAACACTAGGACTCACCTCAACAACTGCACAATGCAATGAGACAGACATAAGAGAACCTCAATATAGATTTCTAGAACTCTTTTTCTGTGTCGCTACTTCCTTTCCAGTACTGTAGCCTGTTAAGTTCAGCAGGATCAGTCTTCCACACTGTGATGTTAACCTGAAAGTTGGTGCTTTTTAGCCATCACTTAGCCCCTCAGGGCTCCAGCTATCTTAACTGCAGACACTTGCGAATCAGCATGGGCTTGCTAATCAGCAACAGCTGAAGCAGCAATAGAAAGAGTGACAGCAAGACTTGGAGCAGCAAGACTTGAGGTGAAGAAGATTTGTGGTGGCAAGATTATGGTGAGAATGGGACCCAGGTGGTGGACAGACCATGGCACTGCTGTGGACAAATGGTGGCAAGCTGTGACCTGAGGCTTCTTGCATTTATTGGTAGTGGCCACAGTTGGATTTTGTTGTTCTTGCCTTTGATGATGGAATGAAAAGCTGCTTGCTGACTTGAAACCAGAGCCTGAACTAACTGCAGAGGAACTGTTGAGCTAAAACCTGGACTTACTGTGATATACTTTGACTCCCCCACTCTACAACTTCCTTCCCTAATAAACCCCATTGTTGGTATGATAACTGTGAGTCAGCAATGAATTAACAAACCTCTTGTTGCTGGTGGGTCTCTACAGGCACCGTGGGGCTGGGCTCTTTATCTGCTTTCTCCTCTGGGGCAGTGAGGGGCAGTGTTTTTCTTACTCCCTCTTGCCCTTTCAGAGAGATGCTCATGGTCCTGTGCCCTATAGTTTATTTTTCCCTCCTCAGAGTCAATCTTATCTAAACAAGTTTACTTTGCTTAGGATTCTTTCTCAGCAAGTGATCTACCAAGTGGCCCAGATTGAAAGTCTGGTGTAGGTTTGTTTTTATTTAACCTCTTTAGTAAGACACCTAACCCCAGCCCTCCCCCCATTACCCTAGTCACTGAATCAATCCATCTCATTGAGGGTCTCCTCTCCTCCACTGTCCCTCCACCCTCCCAAGCATGATGTCCCTCTCCAAGGACTGGTCCCTCCTTGCAATATGTCTAAAGTATGTCAGAGGAAGCTTCAGAATCCTCGGATCCAAGGAGAAGCCTGGCTTCACCCTCTCCAGGACAAACCTGTTCATTTTCTTAGCAGTCCATGTAGGTGAGTCCGAGATGGTGAGATTGGCACAGGATAGAGAAGGATTTGGGGCGGTTGTACATAGGGTCCCTATGAGTTGCAGGCAACTCTACGGCACATAACAACAACAACTTCAGTAAGAGTGTACTTTGACCAAAAAGATGTGTCTTTCATCATTTCAGAAAATGCTTAAATAGTAATTTTTTTCCTCTGGAGAATGTGTGTCCACCTTTCTATTCTGAAATTCTATGTGCTATCTGGAAAAAAACTCTCTTTTCACAGATCTAATTTTTATTGCCATTTGAGAGTTCCTAAAGCATTTTTTTCAATTTATCATTCACACACATTTTGTTACATAAAATCATAATATCCACCGTTCTTCATGGTTAACTCACTTATTATTGTTGTTCCCTTCACCGGTCTTAACAAGTGTTTTGTTTTTTTGAGTATTTTTTATATTTTGTAGGCTTTAACAACTGTTTTTAGCTACTAATTTTCTTCTCATCTTCTCTCTGATAAATACACTAGAATAAATTTTCTGTGTATTAACTTTTTTTAAGTAAAGCTTTTTTGAACTATACTCCACATGTGTTAACTTTTATTTTTAAATAAATAAATTGCCTTTATATCCTGAATTTTGGCAAATTAACCATTTGCTTGATTATATCAATTTAGAGTATTGTATCCATTAATGTATATATTTCTGTATTTGTTGCTTACATTTTTTCTGTTACACAAATATGTGTACACCCATATTTATTGCAGCATTAATTACAATAGTAAAGAATTGTAAACAATTCAAGAGCCCATCAGAGGATGACTGGCTAAAGAAACTGTGGTATATTCACACAATAGAGTATCATGCATCACTAAAGTACTATCAGGAATTTGTTAAATACTTCACCACATGGATGAATCTAGAAAAAAAAAATTATTCTGAGTGGCATAAATCAGTCACAAAGGAAAATTATGCTACAAGGTCATGATTTAGAAAACGAAGGGTAGTTTACACATTGAATCTTGAAAGATTAAAAGCTATGAGACAAGAGGAGAAGGTCAGTGAACATGAATTTTTAAAATATCAAATGACGTATGTATAGAAAACTTTTGGTCCAAAATTCACTAACATATTAACAAGTTGCTGCACACTTTAAATTGATATGTTATCTGGAATGTTACATCTTTTTTCCCTATGTATTACTGAATAATTAACAAATAAATGCATTAGTACACGTTGTACAAATGATGTTCTTTTTATTAATTAAAATGTGCAGGACAGCTATAGTCATTTGTGGCAACGTGTTAACACAAGCAAAGAGAAAAATCATTCCTAAGCAGAAAGCTAAGACTAAATAGCACCATTTTTTCTTTTTCTTCTAAATCTGTAAATTCCTCAGTCTCCTCCAAAGCAAGCTTACCTCATTTGACAATCTCCCCAGTAAGTCTAGCAAAGGAAATGTTCCAGTAGCCTGGCCGAATCTTTGTCTCTCCTCTACAACGTTTTCTTAGATCACTTTTGACCTTGGATTTGCTTAGATTCTCCCCATTGCTGACCTTTCCGTGGATTTTCAGTGGCTGTAAATTGCACAGGAGGAGACTGAATATCTTCCTCCCTCAGAGCAGCTGGTGGATTCAAACCCCACACCTTTGGCTTGGCAGCACATCTCCTTACCACGAGGCCACCAGTGATCCCCTCTCCCCAGCCAGCCAGGACCAAATATCACTGTCTTTTCAAGGTTTAACAGAAAGCCACCTCATTTATGCAACCTTTCCCAGATTTCCAGGATGAAAGTAACTTTTCCCTTTGAACCCTTCCATGTTTAGAGGACAAGCTTCATTTTTATAACAGGAACTTGAGGCCTCAAAATTATTCTCTTCCTATTGATTATACAAACTAGAGATGGTTGTGTAATGCACCTAGAATGATAAGGACAACATGAGTTGGAAATGACCCAATGACAACTAAGAACAACAATCCCTGCCTTGTTGAAAAATAGTAGTTGTTTTAACAATCCAGAAGCACTGGTGGCATAAAGCTGTTGACCAAATGGTGGTCGTTTGAGCACCAGCTGTTTTGAGGGGGAGAGATGTGGTGGCCTGTTCCCTAAGGACGTGGGCAATCCCTGCCCAAGAACTTTGCTTTTCAAATTTTCACCCACAATACAAATCTCTGTGAAGTTCAAGGACTCTGCGCGGTTCAAGGATGCAGGTCCTAGAGCTGTATAGGGACATGCACATGTGTTTATGTGGTCAAACAAGTGTGTAAGTGTATGTACGTAGTTGTTGTTTGCTCTCAAGTCTGAACAAACCCATAGCTGACCCTTCAGATGGTTTTTCAGAGGCAATTAATCACATGGGAGAAAACTGCCCATTCTACTTCCAATATATATAATATACATAGTAGTTTTTGTTGTTTTGTACCATTGAGTCAGAACTGACCCACAGCTGTTTCAGAGGCAGTTTAATTGCACGGAAGAAGACTGCTTATCCTTCTCCCACGGAGCAGCTGGTGGATTTGAACCACATGCCTTTGTGATTGCAATGCAGTTTCTCACCACTAGGCCACCAGAGCTCCATATATACTCTAAGAAGATTGTATTTCCTCCTAGAAATATTTGTTCTTCTGGCCGTCCAGGAGATATTGACACTCTTTGCTACCACCACAATTCAAAGGCGTAAGTTGATATTCCTTGTTCACTGTCCAGATTTCAGATGCCTTAAAAGCAATTGGAAATACCAAGACGTAGGGCAGGTGCACCCTAGTCTTAAAATAGGCATCCTTGCTATTTAGCACTTTAAAGTGGTGCTTAACAGCAGATTTTCCCAGTATAACACATTTTCTGATTTCTTGACTGATGCTTTGATAGATGCTAACTGTGGAGCCAAGTAAAATGAAATTGTTATCATATCATCCTTATTGGTCCAGTAATGAGGATTTTTGTTTTCTTGATGATGGGATTTCATCTCTACTAGAGGCAGTAGTCTTTAACCTTCTTTAGTGTTTCTAGTTTCCCTTACTTTATGTGAGCACGGTTTGTATCATTTGCATAAAACAAGCTGTTGCTAAGTTTTGATCGAATCTTAGTATCACATTCTTCTTCATATAGTCTAGTTTCTTGAATTATTTGCTCAGCATACATACTGAATAAGTATGGAGAAAGGATACAGCCCTAAAGCAAACTTCTACTGATTCTAAATCATACAGTGCTCCCTTGTTTTGTTTAAACAATTGCTTTTGTTTTATATATATTTTTGCATGAGCACAATTAAGTGTTCTGAGATTCCTATTCTTCTCAATGTTGCCTATAATTTACTGTTGTCAACACAATTGGGTTGACTATGTCTTTGCACAATCAATAAAATACCAGTAAAACATACTTCTGGTATTCTCTGTATTCAGCCAAGATCCATCTGACAGTGGCATTGACGTGCCTCATTTCTAGTTTATTCTGAACCCCATTTGAATTTCTTTCTGGCAGTTCCCTG